CCTGGCTTGTACGTGACATCTCCCTATGTCCTCTCATGGTCATACCTCTGTGGCAGTGTCATGGGCTCTTATTACGAGGACAATAGTCACCCTGGATTTGGGCCCACTTACAGATCCACATTTTATGATGACCTCTTTAAGAACCTTGTTTTCAAATGGTGACACTATGAAGAACTGGGGTCAAGACTCCAATGGATGAACAAAGATCCTGCTGCCCTTGATAGAGAGCTTCATTTGGAGACTCTTTCGGCCAATAAAGACTCATAAGTAAGATCATCTGCCTAGGAGCTTCCTGGAACCCTCAAGTGTGCCAAAAGCATCTATGTGTTGAGCCATACTTGTAGGCTGGGCACTTCTATGGGGCCAGTGTTCAAACCCTGATGAACCTTGCATGAGCTAGCCCATGCCCCATTTTCTGGTATATTTCCTCCTCTCTGATCTCACTGAGCCCAGCTCCACCCTCCTCTATTCCTCCTCCTCCCTTTATGAGTCCCGGAGACCTGGAGTCCGGGATGAACTCAGTTTTCCCAGTCTCAGCCCCGCCCCATGCTCTTGCAATATTTGTTAGACTGAGCTTGTTCTGAGCCTAACTGGACATGAGCTCATGTCCTGTCCACGACCCCATGCTGCACACCCCGGCCCATGTCCCACCTCCCCTCTCCCCAGCCATAGACAACGGAATGCTCCTCTGTGTTCTCTTCCATTTTATCAACCACTCTTGCTGTCATTTACTTTTGCTCAGCTTTAACCATCATAAGGGTGTGTCACACTGAGGTCCCTTCTCACTGCTGCTGGCAGCCATTGCTCACTCCGTATGAGGTGTGAGATGCTCCACTGGCTCATGAACTTTCACCAATCCATGTGTTCCCATGTGCTTTGCAGTTCTTTGATTAGTCAGGTGACACGGCTGTGGACAAGCTGGCCCAGCAGAGGCACACCCCCAACAGCTGCTCTAAAGAATCTAGAGTCATAATATGCAACCACTGGGCACAGAACTCAGATCTATACAGTTCCTGTGCTGGAGTACCCAGGGGGTTCCCCCACCAGTTCCCAGCAGGGGCACCCTGTGATTGCTAGCACATGGACATTACACCAAGAATCTCCGTTTGCCAATCAACGTCTGTAATATCGCACACCATACACACACAGTGGAGGGAGGGAAAAAGAGAATTAGACATGCGAAATGAGGTTTGCACTCTAGGGCAAAGATTTAGTGAGCTGGCAGATGGTCCACGAGAACAGAGATAGGTAACTCTAAGAAAGGACAATTCTGAGCTTGGGGGGCAGGGAGAACAGTGAGGGATTCTTTTCCGTCCAGTGTGAGTCAAGGTCAGGGTGTAATGAGATGATGAAAAGGCTGGGACTAGCCTGACCGGAGGACACAGACCCTGACAGGCACAGAGTAAAACCGGGGTGTGCACTTAGAGACAAGGGAGTGGGATTTCAGAGCAAGGGTGGGAAACGAAAGACACAGGTCCCTTCACTGAGATAGCAGCAGTGGGGCTAACAGCAGCCTTCTCGACAGCAGCCAGCAAGGAATATCTTTAAAACGCTGATAGAAAATTGCTGTCAGCAGGAACTCGGCACCAGCTAAACAGTCATTCAAGAATTAGATGAAAATAAAGAAGATACATTCATAAAGAGAATAGCCCAGAAACACTTGCCAAGAGAACTACTCGACAGAGGCGTTTTAGCTGGATAATAAGTGAGCACAAAAAAAATGTCGAGATAAGTCCCTACATGTAATTAACTACTGAATACAAAAGGCAGTTTGATGGGTTTTTAAGTGAAATCAGAACTTAAGAGTAGAAAGAGGCAATGGGCTGAGATGGTGCCGTGCTTGGAGTACAAAGTGGCTCCCCAAAGTGTGTACAGACACCAGTTCCCAGCCGGGGACCTTGTGATTGTACATGGACAATTATAATGTACATGGACAGTACATTAAGCTTCTCATTTTTGCCAACCAAATGTGTATAACGTAAGTCCAATTTTGAATAAAATTCTATTTTCCTAGTATCTGGGGAGATAGAATGTGTGTGTGTGTGTGAGAGAGAGAGAGAAAGAGAGCGAGCACACACACGTGGGTGGGTATATGCACATATGTGGAGGTTGGATGTCAACAGCGGATGACCTCCTCAGGAGTCATCAGCCTTGTTTCTTGTGGTCTTATTGACCTGGCGCTCTTGAAGTGGGTGAGGCTGGCTGGCCAGTGAAGCCTAGGAATCCAAGGAACCCTGTCTGCTTTACAAGCATACACCTGGACTTTTAAATGGATTCTGGTGATCTAATTCCCATTCCCAGGAGTGTGTGGCAGGCATTTCACTGACTGGGCCATTAGAAAGGGGGCTGTCTGATGGCACGTGTGGCCAGGCAGGAACGGCCTGATTTCTCTGTCACCACCTCTTGGCTCCAACCTTTATCAACCTGTCTCAAGCTATCAAGCATCTATATCTCTGCGGTGTGGGCTGGGACATCAGAAGACACCCAGCCATGTGTGAGCTGGGCCACTGGGCTTCCATAGCTCTTACGTTTCTAAGTTTTACCCCCTTGTTTGGGGATTTTTTTCTTTTTTTATTCCCATCTCACCTTCATTTCTAAGTAATCTACTAGTAAGCTAATTGAAAAACTATTACCTTCAGTATCCTGTTTTTGTTGCTTCAAAAATGCCTAGCAAAATTTTATCAATGTGCACACGCTGGCTGAAGACACAACTCACTCTCCTGGCCAGTTCATTTCTGGTGCTTTCCCTTATATTTGATCACGTGTCATGTTTCCCTGTGTGTGACACGGTACTCACTTAAAAACTGTGGAACAAGCCAGTTGGTGGTGGCATACGCCTTTAATCCCAGTAGAGGCAGGCGGATCTCTATGAGAGTTCGAGGCCAGCCTAGTCTACAAAGTCCGGTACAGCCAAGGTTACACAGAGAAAACCTGTTTCGAAAAAACAAAACAACAACAACAAAAACAAAACAAACAAAAATCAACTTTGGAACTTGCTAAGATCTCAAGTTCTGGCCTCCAGAAAGGAGTGATCCATATCCTCCTCACGGCTCACGAGCTTCTGGGACCCGCAGCAGAGCTTCTGTGCCCACCATATCTAGTCTTAAGGCAGTTCACCATGTTCCTGTAATCTCTCTTTTCTAAGGGGATCCCTTTCCTCTAGAGTATGATGTGGTTTAGGGTGTGTGGGCCTGATTGACCTGCCTCCCAGAATGCCCTGAAGGCTTGTGAATGAGGAGGCGCAGCCTCCAAGTTTCCACACTAGAAGGAAGGGTCTGTGCCGAACGAGGCCCTCCTACAACAGGGACGCCTGTCTCGGCCTCAAACCCCACACCGGCCTGGTGTGCCAAGATCACGGCACTGCGGCTGCTAATTCAGCGCAGGCGCAGAAGGCAGCGGTCAGCTCGGGGCAGCCTGAAGCTCGGGGTCGCTCGGCCTCCCTCAGGTCCCTAAGTCCTCCCGGAATCCACCAGCCCGCCCTCTTACAGTCTGTTTCTGGCCCGTCGCTAAGCGCACGCCCACCAAAGCCACCCCACCCCTCCGCCCAGCGGCTTGACGCCCGCGGGCCTCCGTAAGACAGCTGTGTCTCCGTGGCGACGGCGTGCGCCGCGCGGCTCCTTTGTTAGGCGATGCCTGAGCCTCTCGGAGGCGGGGCAGCCGGAGAGCAGGTGGGCGGGGAGGAGGTTTAGGAAAGGAGGGTGGGATGGTAGCTGCGTCAATCACCGCTGGCCCGCCCAACTAGATGGCACTGGCCACCGGTTCCAGGGCACGGTCATCGAATGGCGGGTGTGGGCTGAGGGGACAGGACCACCAGACAGTGGGTCTGCTATGCTGGGGGTCCTGTGAACATAGGACTTTGTCCTCTGCTCCTTAACAGTGGCCGCCACCCACCCACCCGAGGTTGGGTGGGTGAGGCCCAATTGGGCCTAATGCAGCCCAGGATGGAAACTGCATCACCTGTCCTCTGCTTCCCACTTGTCAACATATTTTTCTTACGATATAATCTAATGGAGGCGGAATTCTTTCCTCCTAGTTCCAAGGTGTGAAAAAAAAAAGAAAGAAAGAAAAATCAAACCATAGACTGTGCAAGGGCCTGGAGACCTTAGGGAGGAGAGGCACATCTGTCAAGCAGACCTAGGCTCCCCATGAATTGTCTGCCCTTGAGACCAGCTCCTTAACTGAAAAGTTACCTTCTCCTTAAAGCGGCTGACTAGTTGACAGATGATCTTAAACCTGTAAGCATTCCAGCCACTGTCTTTGCTTGGGTTAGTTTGAAAGTATACTTCAGCTAAGCAAAAGAACTAGGACGTAAGATTGGCATTGCCCAGGTTTCCTCTGGTGCCTACCTAGACACCTTTTTGGGCTGGGCTGGGCCAGAGTTGGGGGTAGGGGACTTGCTTTCTGACTTCAGGGTCTCCATCACAGTAAAGAACAGAGAACTAGGGTGGAAACAGGAAACTGCCTTACCAGAAGCCCCTCCCCATTTTGCAGGTGGTTTGCAAATTGAAAGGTCTCCCTCTGGTTTTCAGCCGAGCATGCTTGTTTTCCCTGGTATTTTCCAGTTAGAGTTAAACTGTAATCAGGTGTGTGCTTGCTTGTAATCTCAACACTTTGGAGGTAGATGCAGGAAGATCAGGATTTCGAAGCTCACCACAGTTGGAGATGGAGGCCAGTCTGGGCTACTTGAAGCCCCTTTCTCAAACCATAATCATCATTTTCTTCTTAAAATTTTGTGGTACAGTGTGAGGAACAGAGAATTTAGCCATTACTTTCTTGTGTTCCGGTATTTACAAGTTTAAAAGACAAACTCATGGTGCTATTGCTTTTTCAGCGAGTCAAGCCCCTGCAAATGTGCTCTCACTCTTCTGTCCCCCTCCCACTCCTCCCTTTCATCCATCCCCCCATGTGACTTCTGGTTGCTAGGACGTGCACCCCCCCCTTCTTGTCTCCAGGTGACTCCATACCAAGAAGGATGAGCGGTGGCCACTGGAGGGTATCAGATGGAAGACACCAGCACTTCTGCAATGGCTGAGGAAGCTACCAATGATCCCAAGGACGCTGCCAATGATGCCAAGGACGCTGCCAGTGAGGCCAAGGATTCTGCCAGTGATCCCAAAGAGGCTGCCAATGATGCCAAGGATTCTGCTGCTGCCAGAAATGATAATGAAAGGGGTTTTGAAGGGGTCATCTTTTCTTCCTCATCAGTTTTAGACTTGAGTCAGAAAGGCCTGTGCCACTTGGGAGAGTTCTTGAAAGTTCCCCACCTTCAAGTAAGTGTCCAGATCCTGGGGGAGGGGGGAGGGGGAGAGGGTGGCATACAGGTGCATGCAGCCAGCAGAAGAACTGGAACTGGGCTCTTTGTTTCTTTTGTTAGGAGAGGTGAACTCTAGGAGCAGAAGGGTTAACTGGGGTTTTACAGACTGGCCACAACAATGAGCAATTGAGATGAGGTGCCAGGCAACAGGGAGATGGGGCATCAGGATGGGGCAGCCTTCTCCAACCCATGGGTTGTGTTACATCATGAGAAAGCTGGGTGGAGATCAATGCCCAAACACCCTGGGTCTTTGATTTAAAATGCAGGCCCTTCTGCAGGCCCTGGGCACTGTGAAAACAGATGGAAGCTTCCTCTGATTTTCTTGATGTTAACACCCTGCTTTCCTTTGTGTCACTCCCTTCAGGGCACTCCCTAGTGGTGTTGCCTTATCCCTTAGCTTTCCTGAGCAAGCAGCATTGGTGGCAGACAGGATAGAGGATCCCCAAGTGGTGCTGGAACTGCCCTGGCATCACAGAATGTCCTTAAGCTGCATCCAGCTTCATCTGGAACCTAGAAACAGTACAGTGGTTTGTTGTAAGATGACAGAGTAACATACTTAAAGACCTTGTCAGGGACATTGCAGTGCTGGGGTAAAGCTGTTTGTTCTCTCTGTCCATGTCTGCTCTCAAGGTATGAGAGCTAGCTAGCATCCTTTTTTTTTTTTTTTTTTTTTTTTTTTTGGAAGATCTTGCTGTGTGGCCCAAACTGGCCTTCGATTCACAGTCCTCCTGGCCTTGCCTGGCTGTTTATTATCACTAGCCTCCAGGAGTACACTCTTAGTTATGAGGACCCACTTCCTCCAGCCTCCTGTTACTCATGTCACCTAGTGAGAAGTAAGGCTCTCCAGTCTCAAGAGTCAGGCCCAGCTGAAAGGAACCCATTGCCTTTGTTTGAAAAGGAAGGAACACATTCCAAAGTCCTTTAGGTCTAACCCAGACTCATAACTATCCAAGAAGACAAGTTTTGCTAGGAATGTATTACTATGACAAAAAAAAAAAAATCAGTGAGGTAATAACTACCCAGAGCTTTAGATCTTTAGGGGTTATGAGCTGCATTTTGCAACTGTGCAGCAATCATTCCCTGAAGCTGTCCCTTCCATGCCAGGGGCATTGATGCTCGGAGGACGTGGAAAGCAACGCTGCGAACACCAGAACCCGGAGGAAGGGCACAGCAGCGTGTGCTCCACTGGCCCCAGACAGTGCTGAGTCAGCCTTGCCAGGCTTGCTGGGGAAGGATAGTGTGTTACCCACTCTGATGTTCATTTTCCCATGTTCTGAAGGAACTCTGCCTTCCAGTCTAAGCATCAGGGTTAGCTTACACCCTGAAGAAAAGAGCGGGCCCGAACAGGTTAAAGCCTCCACTCTAACAAAGGGTCAAGCAGGGTCACGATAGAGTCTTACATGTGCGTGTCTTTGAGGAAATGTGTTCTCATGTGTCTCCTCATGTGTCTGATGCAGGCATACATAGGTGTGTGGGGACATCTGCCGCCATATGTGTGAAGAAGGCATGTACACATGTAAACTTGGGAGTGTGTCATAGGCCTGAAGATATGCACATATGTGCGCATGAGGATGTGTATTCTTATGTGCTGGGGGAGGTGTGTGCATGGGAATTTGCATTCTCATGTACACTATGGCATACATGTTCTGTGTGGGGTGTGTACTCTGGGTACTTGGGATATGCATAAGCATCCAGTCACGGGCATGCGTCACACCATGCTCCCCTAACTGTCACTCTAATCTCTAGAGACCATGCCAGATGCCAGCAGGCAGGAGCTGGTGTTTTCCAAAGTGATGTTTTACTTTCATATCTACAGAACGCCATCATTCCAATCACCATTCAAGAACCTGCAAGTCATTCAGATTAGAAAATGGGATGAGTAGAACTGGGAGCTGTGAAACCCCAACAGGGGGAAGGTGCCTGTGGCTCCTGGAGTAGGAAAGCAGCACAGGTGTCACGGCCAATACACTCCATTTCCTGTGCCACCCTGCCAGGGAAGGCCCATTACCCCACCCTACAGCCAAGGACACTGGAGAACAGAGAGATGCGGGAGCTTGCTTAAGGTCACATAGCTAACAACTTTTGAAACGTGGGAAGTCTGGGTTTAAGGTTCGTGTCCTGGGCATCTGATGCTGCCCAGGACAAGTGCGGCTACAGGTGTAAGTGTGGACAATGACGCTTTCACGGCATGTAACAGCAACATCGATGGAGGCATTTAAACAATAGTGTATAATCCAAGCACACCATGACTATAAAATTACACCCGCAAGATGGCCAGGTGGGTGAAAGTGCCTGTCAGACAAGCCTGGCAAGCCAAGCGTCACGCCCAGAACCCATGTCAAGGTGGAAGGAAAGATCTCGCATCCACAAATTTGCCTGTTGGTGTTTACACATGGGTTGCTGCATGCATGCATACCATGTACACATGCAACACAATAATAATAAAATTTCAAATATATTTATATATGATACTATATACAATGTATAGATATGTGTGGATATATATCTATACACACACATATATATACACATCTATATGTAGATATGTAGATATATATATATCTACACATATGTGTGTGTGTGTGTGTGTGTGTGAGTGGGTATAGTATTTTCCCTTATCCAGGAATGCCCAATAGAAAATTTCAGAAAACATATTTTAATAACTTATAAAATGTATCCCTGTGGCCATTCTATTGCATTATCGGTTATTGTTACCCTCTTGCTGTGCTCGCTTTGCCTGCCGCACATTATCGTGGGAATGCACAGACAGGAAAGCAGGATGTCCCAGTGCTTTCTGTGGTTTCAAGCATCCACTGAAGGGTGGACAACTCATAGGGCTCAGACCAAGCCACACGGGGCACGTCTTCTTGGCTGGGTGATGGCTTCTTTCTGCGTGGTTGGTCGTCATAGATCACACCACAGCAGAATGTGTCTGTGTCCTGTAGCTTCCCCCTAACTGGCAACCTGGAGTGAATCCACTGTGGCTCTTATTGCTTGTTCATTTGGTTTGCTGAGAGCGTGGTACTGGGTGTGGCCAGGGAGAAGGAAAAGTTATGGGCTTTCAATCTTTCTGATCCTTATTTGGTTTGACGCATAGTTGTGGTTGGTTTAGTCCTTTTGGAGATGGTTTTAAGTTTCACTGGCTGACAGAGCATCTTCTGGTCTCCTTCTGTGGAAGCAATTGCACCTACAGAGGAATTCGCTCATCAGGATTCCGAAGGATTTTTTCCAGCTGCTGCCCAACCTGATATGGCTAGACCTCCGTTACAACAAGATCAGGGCTCTTCCCTCTGGGATTGGCTCTCACAAGTAAGTGTTCCTTAGACACGCAAGTAGATTTTCAACTGGGCTGGGCACTTAGGGGGCAGAGGCAGGCAGACCTCTGTGACTTTGAGGCCAACTCCATCTACACAGTACGCTGCCATCTCAAAATTTAGAAGTCCAGATAGTTCAGACACAGCCCTGAGGCGCATGCGTGGCCAGCAGCTGCAAGTGCGGCTAACTGGATCTTGATGGGCTCTTTGATATGTAGAAATGGCAGCCTCGTCGCCTCTGCTGGAAAACCCACACGGTTTCTGAGGCAGCTGATTCCACCCTGACCCTACTGTGGGAAGCTAAGATTAGAAATACCCTGGGTATATAAAAACCCAGCCACATGTTGCTGTAGGCCTTGGGGAATCCCCCTAACTCTCAGGAAGAGTTTTGCCCCATTTTGAAAAACCAAAAACCTCCAAGCAAGCAGTGTGGACTGTCCTGGCACATTCCTGCCCCTCAGCTTCCCCAGAGTTTCCTGGAACTCCCAGTTGCAGAGCCAGTCTAGCCCACCCTTGACAGCCAGGCCTCTACCCCCTGCCCCATCTGCATGCTCACCACCTCCTTTCCTGGTTCCTTTCTTCATGCCATACATCCTCCTGCACCAGTGTTAGCTCTGACCTGGACACTCCCTTCAGACCATCACCTATCTGATCTGAAAAGGGCAAACAAGTCCCTAAAACAGTTTAGAGATTACCAGGTGTCAGGAACGTGGTAGGAGGAAGAGGCTGAAAAAGGCCTTTAGGGTTTGGAATCTATGTCCTCAACTTTATTTTGAAAGAACTGAACATGGGCAGGGATAGAATTAGACTTGGCCCCAGATCACTGCCTGAAGAAGGAAGCTGTAGGACAAAGGGTAGAAGGAGGGAGAGTTGGCAGGCAGCTAGGGCAGTGGTCCATATAGGAGGCTTGGCCAAGCTGGTTGCAGCAGGGCCTCACGGGACCTTAGAGCTGTTGGGATTGACATTGACATGAGGCTGAAAAACAAGAGTCGCCCAAGGGTGACCCCAGTTTCTGTGGGGGGGTATCCCAGTGGTGGTATCATAAGTCCACTGTATATCACAGCAGGCCTTGGTGGCATAACTAGCATACAGTTTGCAGAGGTGACCTGCTGGCTCTGGAAGCACCATCTCTTAAGTATCGATAAAAAAATGTACTGTATGGAAAACTTTTTAAATTAAAATTAAAAAGTGAGCACTTCACATAAATGATGGTGACAGCAAATGTCTTGCCTTCAGTCTTCAGCTTAGCAGGAAGCAGCTTGCTTTTGCTGTGTCTGAGCTAGGGGGTGCTCCAGGAACCCACCTCTGGAGCTCTGGAGACCTTGGGGCCTGCAGGACAAGCGTGGATGAATGGATGGGGAAAGGACACAGGCCTGGCCAGCTGGTGGTGGGACAGCTGAGCTGGATCTCCTGAATGGCTCTCTGGGCTGTTTCCACTCAGTCCTGTTTCCACCATGTGTCTGTGCATGTCCTCTGGTCTTCTGGGCCTTTGTCCTGTGTAGAGTGGCTTTCTTCCCCACAAGGAAACTACCATCTGTGCTGAGATAGCCGAGTGGTTTTCATCCACAAATTATTTAACTGTTAACACTGGGTCTAGGGAGTAATTGTTGTCCCTGAGGGTTAAGATCACATGAACTGTGCTGCTGAAGGGCCCACTTCCTGTTTCTCCCCCCAAAAGGTACTCAGTCCTCAGGTCTAGAATCATTGGATGTTGACAATCAAAACCAGCTGGTTTGTGTTATTTAATTTATAATTGGGCCTCTGATTTTATACCCATTATGTCATTAAAATTGGGTCTGCTTGCTGAAGGGCTGAAACATTAATTAGAAATTTTAAGTAATTATGGGCTCATTAAAGGATTTAAAGTTAAAAAAATAATTAAAACAATGGTATCATCAGAGCCTCCCACTCCCCGCCATGTGTGGCTGTGTGAGCGTGGGCACAGAGATTAAAACAAGGCATGTCGATTCGTTCTCCTGAGGCTCCAAGCTGGCAGGTGTGTGTGCAGCTGTACGATGGTTCTGAGGTAACCGGTGAGGACAGTCTGGCTACTCACAGAGCACACAGACTGACACAGGTTCATCATCACACGAGTATTGCTACGTAAAGTAGAAACCATCCTGCATACTTTTAGCTTTAATATTTGGTAAATATTAAATATTCTTCCAAAAGAAGCCAAGCCAAATGTCTCTGTCTCTGACGCTGGAGAAGTCCATGGCACGTTGCTGAGTCTCCTGTGTTGAGTCACCGTCAGCTGTTCAAAGAAAGCTGGTACATCCTTGCTGGCTACTTCCTTAGGAGCGGATTTGAAGGATACCATGGCAAAGCCAACAAGCTGGGTCAGGGCAGCTGCAATGACTTGCCCGCACACATCACATTAAGTTTCTTGGGTGGGAGAGATAGGTCAGTGGTTGAAAGGGCTTGCTGAGGCGTGGTCGGGCTCTCTGCAAATGCCCACATGGGCAGTTCATGACTGTAACTCCAGTTTCAGGGGATCTGACACCATCTTCTGGGCTCCACGGGTACATGGTGCATGTACATACATATAAAACATAAAAACCATGCAAAGACATAAATGTTTAAACAATAACTATTTCAAAAAGAAGTTTATTCATAAAAGCTTCACATACGGTGTGATATGGTATGTGTCTGTGATCTTAGCACTGGAAAGGTAGAGACAGGAGGATTATTGAAAATTTGGGACCACTCTGGTCTGTACATCAAGGTCCAGGCCAGCCATATTACAGAGAAAAACTTTGTCTCAAAAACAAGCTTCAAATAATGAGAATTCCTGAGAAAGTGGCACCATGGTGAATGAGGAAGTGAGCAGGCATGAGCTTTGCGCCAGGGTACAGGGGCATTAGTGCTCTTCAGCCCAGCATGCCCTCTCTCTGCTTCAGGTTCATCAGATGTAGTCACACTGAGTCCATCAGACCAGAAGGCAATGGTTTCAGCACCATTCAGAATCTGGGTTGTAGCTTAGACCTAAAGCCCTGTGCTTGGCTAGCACCAGCCATGAGACAGGCCCTACCTTCAAGTGGACAGCACAGCGAAGGAACGGGCTGTCTGAGACATTGTGCCAGCTTTCAGCCGAGTGTCCCTGAGAAGTGTCCCCTGAGAGGGGGAAAAAGCAATTAGCAGTGGGTTCAGTCTTAAGAATTAAATATGAAAAAACAGGATTAAAAAATAAAATAGGCAGACAGGGTAGGGGCAGAGCTCACTGTAGCACTCCTTCTGTCCTCTGACTGTTCAGGGGCTTGCTGGTGGTGCATGGAGGGGGTATGTGTTAGGACGTCTGTGGCCCAAGAAAAGGAAAATGAGGAGTTTCGACATATTTTTACAGTCATTGAATGTTCTGCTTTCTAAAGTATTTCTGTTTTCTCTTAAAGACATTTGAAAACTTTGCTTTTAGAAAGAAATCCTATCAAAATGTTACCCATTGAGCTAGGTAAGTACCACAGCAATAAAGTGAAAGGTGGCTTTAAGTGCTTTGAAGTTCCTGGGCTTGTGATGGAGATGAGAGGCATGACAGAAAAGGGTAGGCAGCAGGGCGTTCAAAGTCCCTCCCGCAGATTATTAGTTACTTTCCCAGTCACTGTGATAAACTACCCTGACAAAAGCAGCTTGAGGGAGAAACAGTTTATTTTGGCTCCCAGTTCAAAGGTTCACTGTGATTAGTGAAGGCGTGAGATCCATGACACTGCATCCACAGCCAGGAGACAGAAAGTGATGCTCATGTTCAACGCACTTTCTCCTTTTCCTTACAGTGCAGGATCCCAGCCCTAGGAATGGTGCTACCCACAGTGGTAGCGGTGAGGGTGCCTTTCTGCTTCATTTAACCTTATCACAATACTCCCCCCACAGGCATGCCCAGAGGGCTGTGTCCAGGTTCCTTAAGATCTCATGCCTATTGGTAGAGAAGCTGTTAACACTGTTATGCGCATTGTCTGTGGCAAGGCCAGACTGAACTTCACAGGTACCACACAGCCTAAGAAACGCTGCATATATAACTATGCATGCTCCCATCATGTGGCTTTGCTTTCTGTGGGAGCCAGGCCTCTCACCAGTTCTAGTACCCTTCCTTTAGGATCAATCTCAGTTCCTCGATTCTTTGGCTCACTTGTGCATCCAAGGCCCAAGTGGATGTGTGGGGCTATCCACACCCTTGTGTGCATTTTCTCTGCTGTAGATAAGGATGGTCATTTTTCTCCTTTGCATGTTGATCTGTCTCAGTTTCTGTTCTCTCTTATCTTTGTCTATTTAAGTTTGATTCTGCTTTTTGTTTTCAACTTCATTGAGTTGGAAGTTTAGGTTTTGATTTCAGATCTCTCTTCACTAGCATACATTTGAACTGCACTGTCCTAAACACTATCTTCACTGCATCCATTTGCTATGGCCTGTCATTCAACTCAATGTGTTTTCTGGAATGATTTACCCGTGGGCTCGGTTAAAGTTATTTTCTTCACTGCTGTGACAAATACCTGACAAGAACAGCTTGAAGGTAGAAGGATTTGTTTTGGCTCATGGCAAAGAAGGCATGACAGAGTTCACTATGACACGACTGTGCAGCTGGGATGAACAGGTCAGGAAGCAGAGAGCAGAGAGTGCTGGTGCTCACAGCTTGCTGCTTTTAACCTTTCAGTCAAGGACCCTGATCCATAGGATGGTGCCATCCACATTCAGAGCGGGCTCACCCTCCCCTTCAGTTAAACCTCTCTGGAGACACCTGTAGACATGCCAGAGGTGTCTCCTGGGTGATTCCAAATCACCGGGGTTAATTATGAAGATTAGCACAGCTTGCTACTTAGCTTATACCCAACCAGAGATTTTCTAGCTAGCTTTCTGTGGTGAGTGGTGCTTTGCCATTTAAAAGGCAGAGACTGTCAGACCAGATGAAAATGCAGAAGCCAATTGTATGCAACTCACTCACTTAAAGTTACTAAAATGCAGAAGGCTTGAATGCCCGTGGCTGGAAGAGAAGGGAGGCAGCTGGCATGAGGACAGAAGTGACTTCATGATACGAGACAGTGTTCAGTGTCATTCTGTCACTAAAGAACTGGGCATCTTAAAGAGGACAGATATCTTTGGCTTCCCTCAGTCTTTCTTCTTGACATTATTAGTTGGCCAGGAAACCCATCTAGAAGTGGGAACGTGGGGGAATGTGCCCAAAAAGGAGAATGTGGAAGCAAATAAAGACCGTGATGTGGTCTGTCATATACAGGGCAAATACAAAAAAAGATGGTTGTTTTTCACCTAGCCTTGAGACTGGGGTGGGAAATGGACCCCTAAGACATTCTTAGAAATTATAAATTCAGCCCAACATGGTGACTTATAGCTGTAATCCCAGAACTTGGGATCTGAGACAAAAAGATTGCTGTGTGTTTGAGGACAACCTGGGTTACATAGGGAATTATGATCCAGTTTGGGCAGCAGGGTGTGAGACCCTCTTTCCACAGAAACAGAAGAATAAACAAATGAATGATAACTGTCATTTCTCATTACCTGTTTCCCCATCTCTTCCTCCTCCTCTTTCCTCTTTTGAGACAGTCTTTTGTAGGCCACGCTGGCCCTGATCTCCCCATGTAACTGAAGGTAAACTTGAACTCAGGAGCTCCCTGACTCCACCTGGAATCTCAGGCATGTGCCACCATACCTGGTGTGTGCTGGGTGTGGAACCCAGAGCCTTGCACATATCAGGCAAGAACTCTACCAAATGCGCTGCACCCCAGGTCCATCAACACCCACTGCTGAACTTTCCAATGCAACTCTTGCCATGTTCAGTTCTAGAACTGTTGGTACTTTTTGATACTCTCTGTTTTCATTAGCATTGCTATTTGCTTAGGTGGTTTATTATATTTTCCTCTAATTAGTGATGCACCTTTATTTTTCATTTCCTTGGCTGTATTTATAATGGCTGCTGAAGCCTTCATCTGCCAATCCTGGCATCTGGGCTGCCTGAGAACAGTGTCTGTGACACCTGTTTCCTCAGCACATGTCCCATTTTTTTTTTCTTTGTATGTCACATAGCTTTTATGTTACAAAGGGACATTTTGGGTAGTGTAGCCACTTTCTGCTATGAGTTTCACTTGAAGGTTGCTGCTGTTCGGTTTGCTTTTATTATCATTAACTGTCTTGTCTCCCATGAAGTGTTCAGAACTGCTATTTCATCTCTTTATTTTGTATGTGAGCATGTAGTTGTACCATGGCATGCGTGTGTGCGTAGGTCAGAGGACAACTTGCAGAGTTTTTTCTCTCTTCCCACTATATTGGTCCCTGGGGTGAACCTCAAGTTCTTGGTGGCAAGTGCCTTAACCCACTAGGCCATCTTGTCAGCCCTGACAGAAGAGTTTTTAGAAGAAAACCTCAGACATCTGTCATCTCCTCTGCTCTTGATTGGTTTTCAGTGTGGAAACAGTTGCTCTCCTTTCCCTCCTGGGTCCCTCTCTAAGATGTGCGAGAGTATTGAAGTTCCCTTCCACCACAGGCCAGGTCGCCACACTGAAGGCCTTGAACCTGAGATTCTGCCCTCTGGAATTCCCTCCTCACCTGATCGTGCAGAAAGGCTTGGTGGCAATCCTGACCTACCTGCGCTTCTGCTCCGTGGAGAATGCCTTCCCTGGAGATGAGTTGCCTCAGGGTGTGTAGAGAATTTTCTATGACTAGATGAAGACTGGGGGTGCTGCTTCTCCAGCCTCTGTTGGGGCTCACATGGCAAAGGCTAGCCCGGGCAGACACTGGGCCAAACACCATGCCTTGCCCTGGCTCGAGCCCACTCTGAGTAGATGTGGTAAAAGGTCATGGGATAAAGGCAAGTGGAGAAGCCATTGCCTCCCATGTGCTTTGAGACATCCTTGTGCTCCTCCAGACAACTTTTTAGAAAGCTCAGTAAAACACATCCTGTTCCTGCCTAGATACCAGGAGCTAGCTTAATAAGCGTGTTGTCACCTTATGGTGAGATATTTAAACTGTCTCATTTTGTCAACATATTGACCAGCCATCGAGGAGGAGAGGGGAGGGAAGGGTGCATCAGTTTTCATCTCAATCCATCATCAATGTCCTGGGTTCTAAAACAATGTTTTAAAACAATCACATTCATAAAGGGCCTTAGTGTGTGTGTCCAGAATCAGCTCTGAGACAGGGATTTACGGGCCTGTGGATGGTTCTGGAAGTGTCCCTGGAAACTTGAGAGAGAGAGGCACTAGGCAGCAGGGAAGGTGAGGAGCTGTACCAAGCAAGCCCCTGGGAGGCTTGTGTTGGAGAAGGCATATAGAATGCTGGCATTAGGCTTCAGGTGTTGCTGTGACTAACTACATAGGGACCTATCTGAGGGCTAGCCCTTGTGTGGGACCTAAGGCCAGTGCCTTAGACTGCCTATGGAAAGGCACATAGGGAAAAGCAGCATGTAGCAAGACTCTGAGAGGTTGCGATGGCACCCTAAGTCCCTGACGGACAGTTTGCCAAGGACAGGATAAGAGAGGAAAGGCGGTGTAGAAAGCATTACAAGCCTGTCAGGAGCAGGAACAAGAGCAGGAACAAGAATGGGATTATGGGTTACCGAGAGGCAGGAAGCAGCAACTGCTGTCCTGGGGGGCAGGGACTTGGGGCAATACCTGCGGCAAACAGTTCAGAATACTAGAGGACATACATGCCAGACCCCAATGAGAAAGCATTCTGGGAGGCCATCTGTACTGTTCAGAAGTGAGAATGCCATGAAAAAGAAGTTAAAGCTCTACCCCAGGCTGGAGGAGACAAAGCATAGGAAGCTGAACACTCCACACATCCAGGAAGGCACTGGGAAGGCTGTGGAGGTGCAGGTCCTTGACGACATGACAGACAATAGAAGTTAGTGTGACACCCTGACTCTGGGGTGGTCCGTGACTGGAAGTCACCCCTGCTCTGATGTGTTTTACACAAATGCAAGAAAGGGGGTGGTCAACGATAGTCAAGAGTGGTCACGATGTTTAGCATGTAAGACGAAAAGATGCTAGATGGTAGAGGGGTCATTATTTGACCTCACACATCACCTCCTGTCCACCTCCTGCATCTCCTGGCTTGTGGTCCTGAGCCCATCTGAGGGCAGGTTTGCAGCTATGTCCCCACTGGGTGGCTGCCGCACTGACTCAGCAGTGAATGTTCTTTGGACTTTTTTTTTTTTTTCTCAACAGTTGACACAGAACTAAAGCCTTTAAAAGTCAGCAAAGCATTGCCATTACCACAGAACAGCAGGCACATGGGCCAGCTTATAATTGAAGTAAATGTTCATGATATCTTGGAGGAGGGGAGCAGAAATGCCCAAAAGGGTGGCAAGAATGCCTCATGCACCTGGGCTAAAAGATAATACTGTAGGCAGAGAAGGCGTGAGGAGGTCAGGGCTTTTGAAGCAGTGTGTCCATCCCCCAGCCAGCAGCTACTGTGAGTCTGTGGCAGCCTGTGGGGTCCAGCTAGTCCTGAGTGGACTCCCTCCTGCCTTCCAGACCTCTCAGCAAAGGAACAAAGGCTGTGGCCCTGGCTGCTTAGCCGATCCTGGAGAGTAGTGTTGACTTATTGGTCACCTCTCACACTGGTGTGACAGAATGCCTAACCACAGTAATTCAAGGAAGAAAGGCTTATGAGGCTCAGGATTTGAGGAGATACATCTTCATCTGGGGAAGTCATGGCAGCAGGTACCTGAAGCAGCTGATCACGATGTGTCTGCCGTGGGGAGGCAGAAAGATGAATGCTGGTCTCACTCAGCCCATAGGATGGCGCCAACTACATTGAGGGTGGGTCTTCTCAGTTACACCTCTCTGGAGACAACCTCACCCAAATACCCAGAAGTTTGTCCCCCAGGTGATTCTAAATCCAGATAAGCTGATCTCACAAACACTAAAATATCATTTTACACACCCCCCCAGAAGTCTCAGTGGTTAAGATGGGCCTCAATGACCTTTTGTACCCTGTGCTTTCTCATCTCCATATAGGCATATTCACTGAGAAAGGCCTTAATGCTCTGGGCCTCGAGGCAGCTGTGGCAAAGGAAAAGGCTGACTTCTTCCCACGTATGGGCAGGCTAGACCTAAGCAAATCCAGTGCCTTCTCTGAGAACTGGCCCAGTAAGGAGGAAATCAAGCGCTTCTGGAAGCTGAGGCAGGAGATCGTGGGGATTGAGGAGGTGGAGGTTCAGGGGAAGAAGCACCTGGCTGCCGAGCTGCCTCCAAATCTCAGGGAGGCACTAAATAACAAGGAGAAAAGGCACCAGAAGCGAGGACCCACAGTCAGGTAAGGCAGCACTGAGGCAGACTTCCTGATCTACAGAGCTGTGAAGTTATTTTCTAATCCTCTAAAGCACAGTGTCCACTTTTGAAAATGTTTATCTGTTCTAAAACCATTATTTAAGGTTTGTTGAATCAGAGCAGACTAGTGTCGTAGAACGTACTTGGCAGAGTAGGGCCTGTTGATGAGATTCAGCTCACGTGTAGTATGTAATGTGTGTACATGAGCCGATGTGTGTGGTGACTGTGTAGTGACTGCATGTATAGAGGATGAGAATGTGTTCAGTCCAGCTCACACACCCTCCAGAGGTGTGTCATCATATCTCAGGGAACAGTAATGGGCTCCTGGGAGGGATGGGGCCTGCTGACTCTCTAGCTATGCTGTGGTTGTAAACATTGTGAATGTTATCTGGGGTGGTGTGTGTATGCATATGTGTGGATGTCCTTGCCAGCGTGTACATGGGTAGAGGCTATGGGCTGACTTCAGATGTCTCCCTCTCCACCTTGATCTTCCAGACAAGGTCTCACTGAACCTGCAGCCTGCTCTTTCTGTTAGTCCATCTGGCCAACAAGCCCCTAGGATCCATCTGTCTTCGTCCCCCCACCCTCCAACCCCACCCCACTCTGCTGGGAAAACAGGTGTGTGTTACTACTCTTGGTTTCTGCATGAGTGCCTGGGAGCCAAACTCAGGTCTTACCGCCTCTGCAGCAACTGGGTTTGAACATTTGTCTAAACCTTAAAGCATTTCATACATGTTACAGCCAAGAAATTTTGGCACCCTACACCATGGCATGTTGTCTTAGTAGCCTGGGGCTACTGCGGTGTTCTCAGTTTGAAGTCACGGGCAAAGAAAGCAGCAGCAGTCTACCAGGCTGTTTAGAAACTTCTTTTCTCCCTCTTGCACTCACTGTGAGGAATAATAATGACAATTTGTTTCATCGATCATGGTTCACTCTCTAATAGTACTTTGTAAGTTTGTCTCTGTGTCAGACGTAGATACCAGACCTCAGCACTGGGAAACTGACGTGGCTTGAGAGGTTGGAGCATTCAGTGTGTGGCCACTCTCTCTCTCTAGTTCCCTGTGCTAACACTGTGCACCTCCTGGGAATGGCTTAAGGATGTCCTTTCAGTAGCTGGTGAACATCTGGAAGACAGAGTCCTCAGTTGGCATGAATCAATTAGCTGGAAACAGTGACTATTTCAGTATGCAGTGGACCCTACTTTAAAGGGCCTACTTTAAAGCTTTCCTGTTAGTTACTGGGGACAAGAGCTGGGATCTTAGTTTTGGTTTGTCACTCTTTTTTAAAGTCTGTACATATTTCAGCATTGCATCTCCCACAGATGTGAGAATCTTAGTTATCAGCTATAAACATTTTGTGATTTTAGAAAGAAGTCCACCCCCTCCAAAGGCATCCTTCCCAACATCCCTTCAACGAATCAAAACACAATTTATACAAAAAGGCTGGAGGACAGTCATATGGTGGCTCTCCGGGAGCTCCAAGAGAAGGAGGCACTGCTGGAGCAGCGGAGGAGGTACGCCTGGTATGGGATAATGTCAGGATTGGGGGACCTCCTCGTGGCCAACCATGCTGGTGTGGTTTGGTCACCAGCCTCAGAAGAGGTCTGGTGGCTTCTGTTCTCATGGCCAGGCTGAGTCAGTCAGCTTCCCTCATCTGGAAGCCCTTGCACTTTTCCATGGTCTGCAGTTCCCTGACATGCCCAGGATCTCACTCAGAAGTTCAGATGCTTCTCGGTTCCCATTAGACTTGTGCAGCATTGCAGTTAACGGGCGTCCTTTGAGCAGTTTATTATCCCTGACTTTTCCCTATGCCTGCCTGCCTTTTCCAAGTGCCTTTTGGTCCCCCTGCCATGTACGTTTCTCCTCCCCTGCTCATCCCTAGGGCCTGCCATCATAGCTAAGGAATGTTGTCAGAGGTGACTGCCACCTGTGAGCTTCTCTCATGTTGGTGGCACAAATGACACACTTCCTACCCTTGGGCTCGTGTGGCCGGCTTGTCCCCCATCCTGTTCTCAACAGCTATTATCCTCTGCCCTACAGCTCCACTGACAACCCAGATGTGTGCTGTTATAGGCCCCTGCAGCCAGTCAGTATGGACTACATCCATAGTACCACAGGGCCCCAAGCCTCATGGTTGGGTTTGGCCAGTGGGGGACCCCAGCGGACATGTGCGAGCTGGTGAAAGCCAGGGTAGACTCTACATCCCTAACCTCTGTGAACTTCCTAGTCACATCCTACACACTGCCTTTGACTTCATCTTCTCTCCCATTCAGTTTTCCTTGCTGTTCCTCCCCTGTCCTGTCAGGGTCTAGGATCTTGGCCACATCAGACTCAGGTCCCTGAAGCCTCCCACTCCTTCCCTCTGAAGCCTGGTTATAAATAAAGCTCCTGAGGCTGCAATCAGGAAGTCTGCCTCTGCTTGTCTGGGACCCAGCAGGAACAGACTACTCACAAGCAGCATATGGGGTGGCCCATGGCTGGCATTAGGCCAGACACCCTGCGAGTGGTTGTCTTCTCCCGTGGTGGGTCGTTCATCTTTGTTGAGAACATTCCTTATACACAAAGAACCAGTGAATAATTCCACTGTCCTGCTTCCGTGTTGTGTTCCATCGCTGAGCATCTGTGGGGCTCTTTCCTAGGTTAGGAGCCTCTGGAGGAGAGAGCAGATCCCTTCTGTTCCTTGTGATGGAGAAGTGGCAGAATAAATGGAATCCCTTATCCAGGAGCTAAATGGAAGATTTGGAACATGTCTGAGCATGCTTAGACTGGGGACTTGGGTCTTGGACCATCTAGACAAGCAGTAGGACACAGCTTCAGCTAGAAGGAGATATAGAGGAGAACCTAACCCTATACCCCATGTTTGAACCCAGGGTACCCTGGAAATTCTAAGACACCTACATAGGAGATGGAGTTCAGAAGGGAAAGGAGAGATGAGAAGCCCAGGCTAAGGCAGAATAAGCATGAGCCAGTGCACAGATATCTCTGAGGAGAGCAAGAAGAGGCTGATTGGGAACAGAATTTGGGGTACCAGGCACTGGAGCTGATGGCAGGTGGACTTAAGGCAGCAGAGATGGCTTTGATGCAGCAAGGCCTTATCCCTACCATTCTGGACACTGTGACCATTCTGTATCCCTTGGAGCTCACTTAGCCAATGTAGGTTGAGTGAGATGGGAAAGAGAAAGACAAAGTATCTCTTGAGAAGCTGCTGTGACCCCGAGCAGGGTCCGCAGGCTGTGATGCAGTGCCTGTAGCCCAGCTTATTACTCCCTGGGCAATGGGACCTGGGGAGCCCAGCTGCCACAGCAGGCTATCAGGCTGCAGCAGAAATGTACCCTGCATGGGGGGGGGGGTCTCGGTTGGAATCAATTACCCCTGTCTCTTCTCAAAGTGTTTGGAAGAAGCCCAGCTGAAGGGAAAGGGGAAGGGGGAAGAGGGAAGGGAGAAGAAAGGGGAAGAAGGGGGAAGGAGAGAGAAGAAGGGGGAGAAAGGGAGAAGGGAGAAGGGGAAGGAAGGGGGAAGGGAAGGGAAGGGGGAAGAATAAAGGAAGACTACCCACCTCTCACTAACTCTCTATGGACAGAGAGATGGAAGAAGGCTTTGTGAAGCTTGTAATGACAGCAGAACTTTCAAGCTCTGCTGGAAGCAACTTACAGCTTGTGACTTTAATGTGACCATGCTTCTTCTCCAGAGACAAGCTAGTTCTGAAGGAGTGGAGAGAGCAGACCCAGCTAATGAGGAGCAGGAGGGAGCTCAATAATCCCCAGCCTTTCAATAAGAACACGGTATGTGGCAGGCGAGGTGGCTCTGGTCCCGTGTTAGATCAGGGTGGGGCTCACACACAGTGTCCAGGCCATCCCTCTAAGCCAGGCTGCACACGCCCCACCCTTTGAGCACTGCAGCTGAGTTCACTGTGCACAGCCCATGGCCTTTGAGGCTGCCCTTGGCCCACTGACTACTGGTTCCATCTGAAGGACCCTGTGCTCAGAGAGGAAAAGGGGAAGGACTTGAGGAGAAAAAAATCAAACACCACTAGCCTGAGACGTGCCTGTGGGCATTGTTCTGTAAATGCTGTACCCTTATGCCAGTCAGTTTGGGACTTAAACAACAGTGGCCTTGCCACCTGTCCCTGATCCCAGAGTCTCCCCTCTCAGATTGTACAGCACCCCTTGCAGATCCTGGTCTAGTAGGGTACAGGGAGCATCAACACCAGAATGCGTCTGGCATCCTCTGTACCTGGGCCCAGGTAGGCACGGTGCTTCTTAGCTTGATAACATGTTTCTTCATTTTATATATATATATATATATATATTCCCTGTGTCTGGCCAGGTGGAGGTGGCATACACCTTTAGTTCCTGAACTTGGGAGGCAGAGGCAGGTGGATCTCTGTGAGTTTGAGGCCAGCCTGGTCTATAGAGCAAGTTCTAGGACAACCAGGGTTACACAGAGAAACCCTTTGTTGAAAAACAAAACCAAAACAAACAAACAAACAAACAAGTCTGGAGAGATGGCTCAGAGGTTAAGAACACTGGCTGTTCTACCAAAGCTCCTGAGTCCAATTCCCAGCAATCACTTGGTGGCTCACAACCATCTATAATGAGATCTGGTGCCCTCTCCTGGTGCACAGGCACACATGCAGGCAGAACACTGTATACATAATAAATAATTCTTAACAAGGCTTAAAACAAACAAACAAACAAGTATGTTGCCCATGTGAAGCAAACCATTGGTAAAGTCAGTAGCTGAGGAAGGTCCCATGGCCTTGCACAGGCTATTCTAACCATGCTGTGCTAGCCTGAGCTGAGGTCAGTGTGCAGTTCAAATCTTCTTAAAAATAAAACAAACAAATTTTAGAATTTATAGTAAAGTTCTGAAGTCAATGCAGAGTTCCACACATCCCTTTCTGCCTCCCTCCTTTCCTTCCCAGATCACAGAGCAGCACTCAGAATAAGCATGCCTTGTCCTGCAGTCTCAAAGGCAAACTGCCCCTCACCAACTTCTCCACAGACACCCTGATCTGCCACCTAGCATTCATGTTCTCTGGTATGCTCTAGCTGTGCTGTTCTATGTCACGGTCTTCTGTGACCTGATGACTTGGGTTAGTGCTGAGCAATGATTTTTGTCAATTATATCTCCATCATTTCACTTCCTAGTTAGAGATCTGCAGTAGGGCCAAGGATACCACAAAGCAACAATGTATCTTTCTCTGAGCAATGTAGAGGAAAGTTAATTCAGAACATGGCTGTTCTGGCAAGAGGTCACATCCTTCTAGGTCTGTGTGATCCGGTTGGAATACAAACATTCCTTTAATCCAAGAGACAGAGGCAAGCAGATCTGAGTTCAAAGACAGCCCGGTATAGAGCAAGTTTCAGGTAAAGAGAAGCTTAGGTCCAGGCATGGTGGTACATGCCTTTACTCCCAAACAATGAAGATAAAGTTAGTTTGTAGGTTTGATTGTTTATTTATCCAGTATTCTTCCTGCATGTACACCTGCACGTCAGATGAGGGCAGAAGAGGGCAGCAGATCTCATTAGATGGTTGTAAGCCACCATGTGGTTGCTGGGAATTGAACTCAGGACCTTTGGAAGAACAGCCAGTACTCTTAACCTCTGAGCCATCCCTCCAGCCTGGAAGCACATGTTTGAAAGTGCTGTTTAATTGAGTGGCAGAAATAGTGACGAATCAGAGGAAGATCTGACAGACTAGGATACGCTGAACTCCCAGGAGAAAAGAGAGGAAAGGGAAGCTACTTAAGGGGCAATGTAGACAGAGCAGGCAGTTTTACCAGGACAGTAATAGAGAGACGGATTGAAGAGAGAACTCAGGTAAAGGTGGAATGATACAGATAATGAGAAGGAGCCAGACTGAATAAATCAGAGGAGTTTGAGCCAGAACAGCCAAATTGAACCAGCCAGCCCTGAGCTCAGAAAGAACAAGAAAGGTTAGCTTATTCAGCAGTAAGTCTTAGAAGCTGAAAACATTCTAGGCCTAGGTTAGATTGTAGGGAGGCTAGAAGCTTCCAGGACTAGGCCTATGTTAGCAGAAGGAGGCATTAAGCCTCCAAGACAACAATTAAAGCAGGAGAATCAAAGTTATTTTTACAGAGCATATTGTTATGGGTTCACGGTGTACTCACTTGTGGTAGTTTGAATGAGAACGGCTTCCACCGGCTCATGGGTTTTAACGCATGTCCACAGTTGATGGAACCATTTGGGAAGAATTAGAAAATGTGGCCTTGCTGGAGGAGGTATCCCCAGGGCTGGGCTTTGAGGTTTCAAAAGCCCACACCATTTCCAGTTGGCTCTCTTTCTGCTTCATGGTTGTCTCAAAGCCCTGAGCTACTGCTCCAGTGCAGTGCCTACCTGCCGGCTGCCATGCTCCCCACCGTGATGGCCATGGACTCAACCTCTGAAACTGTAAGCAAGCGCTCAATGACCTCGTCCTTTTATAAGTTTCCTTGGTCATGGTGTCTCTTCCCATGGATAGAAAAGTAAGACACCAGCCTTCATCCCTTTCAGGGTAGCAAGTTTTTCCCTGGTGGTCATGCTGGCCTCTGCTCCATGGCTGACCCAGGCCTTGAGACTCGTACTTATGGATTACTACCAGGATCCTTCATCACCAGTAGGGCCTTGCTGATGGTCTGACATGCCCCTTTGTCACTGAGTTGTGTTGCAACATATCTGAAGCAGAGACCATTGTTGATGTCTTAGCAGGACCCACTGTTGCTGATGTCTAGTGGGACTTGTCTTCAATAGGGCTGGCAACTGACGGCTCACTAGGGTTTGTTCACTGGGTTCTTTTACCACCTAACGCTCCCCAGGCTGCAGCTGTTCATCCGACTCAAACAATGGTTTGTTGTCTTAAGGAAAAAACAAACAAACTGTGGAAATGTTTACTATGGTAGAATGTCCCAGGAGAGCGACAGAACATAGAGGTAGGGTCCCTGGGTGGTATGGGTGCCCTGCGCATGGCCAGCAGAGACACAGCCCTGCCACCCGTGTGCACTACTTGACCTCTGGACAAAGGGGTACCCATCTCCTAGGATGGAAGTTCAAGAGACTTGGGCTCCTCCAAGCCAAACAGGACCTGTTACCTCATGTCGCATGCACTTCTTGCCCAGGAAGCTTTCCTCAAGAGTAGTTCCTTAAAGTGCCCTGGGCCCTGAAACAGGCTCTTCCCAAATAATGTAGTCAGTATCAGAGAGGCTTGTGAGGAACACATGCTGAGAGCCAGCCTTGGCAGCTCTGTTTACCCCGAAGGCTGCTCTGTTCTGTCCAGCATGGTGCTACCCTCTGCACTGTATGTGATGTCAGAGAAGTCCACCTGTTCCCTATCATTTAACACGACCTTGCACTATGTCAAGTGTTCCTTTTTGTGTCTGTCTGTTTCTCTATTCCTCAGGTTTTTCATATGTATAAAAAATTAAATGCATTTCTATCAGTCAGACAGTGGTGGCCCATGCTTTTAATCCCAACCATGGCCAGCCTGGTCTACAGAGTGAGTTTCAGGACAGCCAGGGCTACACAGGGAAACCCTGTCTCAAACAAAACAAAACAAAACAAAACAAAAAAAGAAAGAAAAGCTAGAAACCAAAGAGGGCTGGAAAGATTACTCCGTATTCAAGGACACTGGCTGCTCTTACAGGGGACCTAGGTTCAGTTCCCAGTATCCACATGGTAGCTCACATCTGTTACCTCAATTCTAAGGGATCCAGTGACCCCTTCTAGTCCCCTTGGACATCAGGTATAAGACATGGTACACATACGTACATGCAAGCAAAGAACTCAATATATTACACAGAAAATAAAAATAAATATTTAAAAAAGATTTGTAAAAGAAATCAAAGATTACAAGAAAAATAGACAGAGGATGTGACAGGCAGTTCACTAGAGAAAAATCCAAATGGCTAGAAATCTATTGGGCAGCCTCACTTGCCCGGCTAAGGAGTCCGTGCGCACAGCCCCCAGCAGTCTTCGAAAAACCATCTTAATAATGGGGCAAGCCTGGGGGCTGAGAGATGGCTCAGCGGTTGTCTGCTCTTCTGGAGGTCCTGTGTTCAATTACTGGCAACCACATGGTGACTCACAACCTTCCATACTGGGATCTGATGCCCTCGACTAGCATGCAGTTCTATATGCAGATAAAGCCCTCATATAATCATATATAATTTTTTAAATCTTTGAAAAAAAATAAGAATGGGGCAAGCCAACTGAGGATGGTTCTCAGTTGATGAGCACTCTCCCAGCATGCACAAAGCCCTGGGTAAGAGCCCCACCACCACAGAAGCTTGGCATGGTATTGTAGTATAGGTCTGTAATCTCAACACTTGGGAAGTGGAGACAGTAGAATCAGCTTGAGGCCAGCGTGGGCCACATGATGCCTTGTCTCAACAAACAAACAAAAACCACTAGTATGTTTTGGATACTTTGGAGAGTTCAGTTTTTTTCAGGGATGATAGCAGTCTAATGGGACAAAGATGTTTAGCTGTATATTTCTGTCATCTGCAGAGGCAAACACACAGTGGGGATTCACAGTAGATGGTGTGCCTCTGTGCCAGCCTAGGAGACATCCTATGCGGGCTCCTGCAGTTGGGCTGGAGGCCGATAGAGGGTGCCAGGGTACTGTGCATGACTGGAGGCTGCTGGGCGGAGCTGAAGCTCCAGCCGTGAGCACTGTGTGCCAAGCCTGGGTAGTCACCACGTGGTGTGAGGAACTGCCTTTGCAGCTTGGCTCCAGAGTGAGCCCACTTGCCTTTCCCATGCTTCTTGTGACCCCTAAGTGTGCAGGTCATATCCCGAGCAGGCGCTGACTGCTAAGAGACTTCAGAAATTAAACACTGGTGGGACTCCAGACCTACCGTCCTATTCAGAAAAAGCTTGCATTTCTCTTCTTCATGTTCTGAAACTTAACAGCCTCGCCTATGACCTTTGAGCTTTCCTGGGCCTCCATACCAATTGTGTGTTTGACACTCTCCTGTAAAGCTGGTGAGAAGCTTTCCCCGTCACTGACACTTGCTGTGCCTAAAAGTTTGCACGGTTTTCAAACAGTTATATTTGTTTTTGCTATTCTCAGAGATCTAGGTGTTTGGATGGATTTTTCTTCCCAGTAGTTTTCTGTAATAGTAAACTATGTATAAATGAGCTTCCCCCTCCCCAAATACAAATGCCTTAAATGAGGGAAACAGACAAACAAAACAAACAGACACAAAGCTGGGCTTGGCATCATGCATTTCTTTCTGTTGGAATTTCTTTGGAAGACTTTTGACCTATGGTGTGGCAGCTGTCACAGTCAGCAAGCATGTGGAATTCCGCTGTGTCCTACCCCTCCCTGTGCATTTCCGGGGCGGGGTGGCTGTAAAAGAAGGGTGTGATAGCTCCTGTCCCCCAGCTATATCTTCTTGAGTTCCAGGCCTGTTCAGAGTATCAGGAATGCTGGGTTTGAAAGGCACTTGCTAGCAGATAAGACTCCAGCCCTGGAAGTCTTCTGGAAATGCAGATGCAGTTCTGATAGGGAGGTGAGGTCTGGCTGAGCTCAAAGTCCACCCTCCAGGCAGATAATACACAGCAGGAGCCCTGGCAGGAGGCTGACCCCCTCTCCAGACTTCACACCTTCCACTCACTCTCTACTTAGTCAGCCTTGGAGTCCAACAGCTTGCCTCCCCCAATGGCCACACAAGCGCACACGCACACGCTGTGCATTGCAGGCAGATTCACATACACTTAAGCTTGTGAATCCGGGGGATGGATAGTTTCCCAGCTCATCCCCTGGAGGCAGCAGAGTGATCAGCGCTGGTCACGCGGTCCTTGCTACCAGCATGTCCTGTCCAGGAGCATCTGCTCCCTAGAGCTGCAGAAAGAAGCTTCGGATGCCATCTGATGGCTCTGAAGGAAGCTGGCCACTTCAGGAGGTCTGAGAGTAAGATAGAAATGTCTCTAGCCTCAACTTCTGCTGCTGTAATCAGTAGGATGAAGTTCTCTTGCCTCTAGTATTAAGAGGGAACAGGCGAGCTCCTGTTCAGAAGTAGTCATGATTAGGGCTGAACCCTAGCTTGGGAAGACACAGACAGACTGGGTGGGCATGGGGATCTGGGAACAGACAGGAGATCTCTTGAGTCATAGCCAGAGGAGAGTTTGGAGACTAGCCTGATGTGTTTGTGACACGGAGCAGAGAGGTCCTGGAGGAAGGCCACAGCAGTCAAGAGACAGGATGGCCCAGGCTATAGGACAGAAGGCAGGACTGCTGGGCAGGGAGGCCAGTGTCTACATGGACCACAGTGGGTAAGGAAAGCCAAATAAGGTATGAGTGGTCATAATCTGAGTGCCATTAGGCTGTCTAGAAATAAGGAGTATGCCTGGGGGGGGAGGGGGGCTGTGAGGAGGCCTGAGTTTCCATGACGCCAAGTAACTAAGTCATTAATATTACAGAGGACAGTCTCTTGGCTGGGCTGGAACCCTCTTTCTCCCCACATTCTATTCTCCAGTGAAATCAAAGATGGGGGCCACTGTGGCAACATGGCAGAAGGGCTGTGGAATGTCCTGGAAACACACTGAGAGTGCTCTAGGCTGTTGAAAGATCTAGCACTACTTGGCCTTGAGGCCTTGGCATACAGGGGGCTGTGCCAATAGACACATCTGGATACGCCTGATATCCCTCAGGATGTAGCTTCTCTCCCCTTCTCTCCCCGGGGGAACTACTGAGCCACTTGTAGGTTTGTCACCTGTTTCACTCATGATGTCTAGATCCATGGCCAGCAACTCTGTCCTGCAGACTGGCCAAGTTCAAGGCCTACAGTTTATGTATTTGATTGGTATTAGCACTTATGTTTTAGCCCAAAATGTTGTGATTTTTAAAACTAGTTCATACCTGTATGTACGACATGGGTCCTGTTAAGAGTAGTATATTTTCTGTTATCTGACTCTGTTATCTCAGAGTATCCTGGGTCAACTATAGCAACCTTTTACATACCCAGGGTCCCTTACTCGCCTGCAGCCTGGGCTGTTGGCGCCTTTGAGAGATGCAGGGATGCCTGTAAAGAATGCCTCCCCCTATCCCCGGGTTGCCTAGCAGGGTGAAGGGCAAGTTCATGAGCCTGGCAAGTGGGCACGTGGGAAGAGTAGCCTTTTCATGAATTGCTGGAAATACCTTGTTGTTTTTTTCTAGATGGCATCAAAGATTCCCTTTGCCACAGATTGGATAGACTATAGGAAAACGCCAGTGGATCCACTTGGGAAAGTGAAGCACAGCAAAGAGAGGACAACACAAAGGAGTTCAGAACTAAGGTTGGTTACAGTCCTGCATTCTGGGCTCCCTAACTCAATGCCACGTGTTGGCCAATGCATGTATCAAGTGCTACTGAATGTCCAGCCTGAGCATTCAGCACAGTGGGTGGTCTGGAAAGACATCGTCCCTACCCTTGGTATCTCATCACCCTGCCAGATGGTCAGTAGGACTTCGAAGATGCCCACTACAGGGGTACACCTGCGGGCACCACCACCCCCATCCTGTCCCAGCATTCCCCGAGCACTTGTCTTACCCTTAGACCTGTCCTTTCAGCCCTCAGGACTACCCCTAGCCTTCCCATGGCATAGAGTTTCTGCCAAAACCAAGGCAGGAGAACACATGAAAAGGCCATTTCATGGTACCTTAGGATTTCACACCCTAGTATTTGAGTCTCTGTCCCGGGGGTCACTACACGGCTCATGGGGATGGTGACGCTGCAAATGTCCTAAGAGCTTAGGCCAACTGGCAGACCCATCTGGAGCTCAGGAGAGCTCTGGGAAAGCTAGGTGCCAACAAAGGGCCAACAGGGGAGGGAGAAATCCCTGAGGCCAGCCACTGGGACCCTGTAGAAGGATTTTAGGGCCTAGGACAGATGGCAGAGGCTAACTGTAAGAACAGGGAGGGGATCCCTGGAATTTAGCTGAGGTCCCTGGCATTTAGCGGAGATTCTTGGCCTCTTTCTGCCACTCTAAATCATTGCATGTACAGTCAACAGATAGCAACTAGTCACAGCCTAGTGTTAACAGAAACAGAGACGCGTCTAAAAATGTCAAGTCAAGCCAGATATGGCGGCTCGTGCCTTTAATCCCAGCACTCAGGAGGCAGAGGCAGGCAAATCTCTGGGAGTTTGAGGCCAGCCTGGTCCACAAAGAAAGTTCCAAGACAGCCAGGGCTGTAACACAGAGAAACCCTGTACTGACAAACTAAAAAGAAAAAAAAAAACCTCTGGTCAATGTGATGTTCTGCTGTCTAAAGGTTCAGTAAAACTGTTTTACCTATGAAAAGGAATGCTGTTTTTCTCATGCATGGAACAGGCTCCTAGATCGGCACAGCCACACATGGACGCGAGGGTGTTTAAAGATTCATGTTTATGTGTATGGGTGTTTTGCCTGCATGTATGTCTGTGTACCATGTATGTACAGTGCCTGAGGAAAGCAGAAGAGGGTGTCATATGTTTTGAGTTGAAGTTATAGTGGTTGTAAGCCCCCATGGGGGTGCTGGGAACCGAACCTAGGTCCTATATAAGATCCATAGCCATCTCTCCAGCCCCAACTTGAGGGTGTTTAAGCACAGTGGCACTGTGGGTAAAGATGTTGCCTCAAGCCTAGAATCTCTAAGGGGAAGAAGGGAGCCATGCCGTAGCATCCTGGTGTCTCGTGATGGCTCATGGGCTGCAGGGAAAAGGTACCTTCTCCGTGGTTGGAATGGGGACAGCTAGCCTAAGGCCAAGATCCAAACAGCAAGTGTCTATGTCCCAGCACCTTGCCATTAGCTGAGCTGGAGGAGAGGATAAGACGGCACACAGAGCAGATCCATGCTCGAAGCTTCCTGGGCACCAACCCACTGCAAGACATAAAGGTGGCCAGCCAGGACCTGGAAAAAGTGAGTATCTGTTGACCTGTTGGGAATGTTTCACCAATGGAAGGGAATTCTCTACGCCATCGCAGAGCAGGCACCCTCTAACCATGCGGGTTGCCTGCTATTTCTGTAGTGGGCTGGGGGAGGGGTACCTCCAGAAAAGATCCTGGCCCCATTTAGAGCCCTCAGCTGTACCAGACATAATGGGATAAGCATGGTGGCTTAGGGCCTCTGAGGACAAGGATGGGCATCAGGTGTGGAACTGCTCCATTCCACTGTGGAGTCACTGCTTAAGGCCTCATACCCAGAGGACAGGCTGAAGCCCTGTGCTGGCTGAAATGGAACTGCTTGGAGAAGGCTCATGGCTGTTGGCTCAAAAAGAGAACACTGTGCCAAATCAACAGGGATCTGAATGACCCCACCCCTGAGCTCCTAAACAGAGAAAATTGTGCCCATAAACCCTTCCTAGACTCTAGAAGTCTAACCACATTCCAATACAGTGACTGATACCATCAGCACACACTTGTGCCTCAATGTCCCTGCTTATAAGAGAAGCACAGAAGCTGCCCTGACAGGAAGCTGGTGGAAGGAAGCAGAGGTTTTGTGATAGAGGTACCTCGGTGCCCATGACCCCACCATTGCTTAGTTCCAGGTTAATCTGGCATTGGTACAAGACCAGGCTTTCTCCACAGCCTCTCTGTGGCTCCATGTCTGTTCTATCCAGATAGAGAAAAGTAAACACTGGCCTCAAACTTGATATGAGGTTGAGTCCTCGAAGTCAGCACATCACATTTGCACCCACATTAATCATCTCTCCCATCACAGCAAGAAAAAACAAAACTGGTGCTACCCTTGTAGACAGAGAAAGTGGATGCTTGGCAGCTTTGAGGTGAAAGTCATGGATGCCCAGTAACAGTTGCAGGGAGCTTACAGCATGGAGAAGCCACATCCCCTGACATTAAGCCACTGTTACCTGACCTTTGGCATTTGGCCTAATAGCTGAGCCTGTATCCTAGCACATAGTGAAGCCAGCAAAGTTTTGTAAGAAGAAAGTCCCTAGAAGTATAGCATTAAGAGCCTGCTGAGAGAGAGAAAAAACACCAGCCAATTGTAAGAATCATTCCATAGAACCCCAAAACACAAGAAAGCAAACCTAGACCAAATAACAGCTTGGTAACAAGTCCCTCTCCTGGCAGAGAAGCTATTGACAAATAATACATGTGTGAGGATACCCCAGGAGTCTGCCCCCAGGTGACAGTGTAGCCCCTCATCAATCTACCACGTCGCAGTGAGCCACACATCCAAGAATATTTGAACAGCAGAAATTGGTCTTAATGAATGTTAAGGGACACAAAGTTAGGTGGGTAGGGAGGGGGTATGGGTTGGGAAGAATTGGAAGAGGGGGTTAAGTAAGATTAAAACATGATGTCAGATTTTCAAAGAACGAATCCAAATGTTTGTTTTGTTTTGTTTTGTTTTGTTTTAAAAAGGATGCAAAGCCAGGGACAGTAGGTAAAAGTTGAGAGTGTGTAACCCTAGACAGTTACCACTGTCTCCACTAGCCCACCCAGAGCCTGTCCTTCCTAGGAAATTCATCCTGACAAGCAGGACAGAGGTGTACTGATGGTGGCCATATAATGACTTTCTGAGCTCTGAGAAAGACCTGTCACCCTGGTGTGTCAGGGTATCCTGGGGGTCTGTCCCCAGGTGAGCTGTAGGCATGGAGAAGCCATCCTGGGGTCCTGCAGACCTAGAAAGGGGGCCATGGCTACCCAGGTGTCACTATCGCAAAGCCTGTGCTTTCCACCAGCTGGATAGGTTGCACCTGTCAGGGCAGGAAGAGCTTTCTCAGTGTGCTACTCTCCAACCCTCTCACCTGACAAACAGACTACATCGGTGTTCCCTGGAACCAGCCCAACCCAGGGTGGACAGTGGGCACCCAGCAACACCTATGAGGTTTTCTCATTGTCTGGGGTCTCATCCTGATGCATAGGGAACAAGCCTGCATTCGGCCTGCCCCCTGGAGAGGCCATAGCAAGCCTGTAGGAAAGCCGCAAGGGAAAAGGAGAGACCAAATAAAGAAACGCACAACAGGACTGCAGCACTGTTCCTCTTCTGGAGAACCTGTTCAGTACCAGTGCCCGCATGGTGGCTTATGACCATCTGTAACTACAGTTCCAGAAGACCCAGTGCAATCTCTGACCTCCATAGGCACCAGGCACTCATGTGGTGCACATGCATATATGTAGACAAAATACTCATACACATAAAACAAATACATCTAAAAAAACTTACAGAATAATAATAATAATAATAATAATAATAATAATAATAAGAAGAAGAAGAAGAAGAAGAAGAAGAAGAAGATGATGATGATGAAAAAGAAGGAGAAGAAAGAAGAGGAAGAAAGCATTAAGAAGAAGGAGGCATTATTAGAAATAACTGCTGCCTGGAGGTAAAATTGAATAAAGGTAAAATTGAGAGCAGAATGAAAAGAAAAGGAGAGCTAGGCAAAAGAGTTAAAACAAGGTTTTAAGACAACAGCTAGAAGATTGGTCCAAGGAGGTTCAGCATGTGTGAGAATATTTCAGGAGATACCAGAGCAAAAGAAGGGAATATTTTTGTTTGTTGGTTGGTTGGTTGGTTTGGTTGGTTGGTTGGTTGGTTGGTTGGTTGGTTGGTTGGTTGGTTGGTTTTTTAAATTAGCTTTTCTAGCATGTGTGAAACCCTGAGTTTGATCTGTAGCACACTGGACATGGTGACACATGCTTACAATCCCAGCACTTAGGAGTAGAGGTAGAGGAGTCCAAAGGCATACTTGGCTACATAATGGGGCCCAAGCCACAGTGGGCCTACATGACACCCTGTCTCAAACAAGGAAAAAGCACAATTAGAGATAGGGTTCTAGTTGTCCGCATGTTAGTAGCTTGATATCCTGAGCAAGGAGGGAACAATCCCTTTGCCAAATAGATCATGGAGGTTGAAGCCAGAGCATAAATGCAATTGCAGACACTCAAGCCTTCAAAAATGTTACTCCCTGCCCAGCCTCTTTTGAGGGTTTGGAATGAATTCTACCCACAGGGAGTTGTCTGAGAGGAGTGAGCAGAGCAAGAAAAAACTGCTAGGGGGCCTTACTTGCCAGGGGACCAGAGCCTCTGGCCAGAGGTTCCCTGGGGAAGACAGGTTTGTCCAAGCAAAAAGACTTGGAGGGGTGTCCAGTCTGGGAACACTGAATGACAGGCACAAAGGAAACAGCACAAGTATAAAAAGAAGCCCCACGAGGCAAGGCTTTAAATTAACAGGACCAACAGCAAATAGGGCTGATGGGTGTAGTGTGGACCTGAGAATGGCCACATCCACAGCTGGGCTGTGGCTTCTTGGGGGTGGGGCATCCCTCAGGGCCGGTCCAAGACAGTGGGGCTGGGCCTGAGGAGAAAAGCAGAGGGGTGGAAAGCAGCTGGCCACAGTGGACAGAGACACTGGGCAGGCAGAGGTAAGGACTTGGGTTACTGATAACACTGCCCACCTGCAACCATCAAGCTTCTTCCAAGCTTCTATACCTTTTCCTGACTGGCACAGGACACAAAGCACACACCTGACTCCAGGCTGGGCAGTTTCCTTCCTTGGCCCTCTCTGGCTGGCTGGCTCTATTCCTGAGCAATTAGAAATCTTGGCTGGGATTGTGTTTAGGTTGGTCTCCCACCACAAGCCCCAGAGGTATCACACCAGCCTCAATGTGATGCTCATTTCCCTCATTTGTATTGCTGCCTGCAGGGGAGTCTTGAGGAGATGCTGTGGGGACACCATGGCAAGTGGCCCCGAAGGTTGTTACCTCTGCGGAAGGATGGTACAAGAGCTACCAACTGTCTAGGTTGTGCGGCCCCTTCACATCACTGACTATCCTAAGATGCAGCCTGTGGGTGCTTGAGGAAAAGGCATTCTGAATGCTCCCTGTAAATACTCCGTGTGCACCAAAGTGGGGGTTCATTCGTCCTGCCTGTCTAACTTATACCTCTTCATCTTCTCTCCAAAGGCCAAGAAACTTCAGGAGGAGTTAGGGACACTGAAACTGAAGATGACCTTGAACAAAGAACATCCATTTGGAACTTTAACTGGAAACCTTTCACTTCACCCACCAGCATCACAGCCTCAAAAAATATTTTTTAACACAAAATACTAGGAAAGTGGTGGTGTCATCAAGGATAACAAGTACCTCCCACAGTGAGGAGTTGCTGTCCCCTCTGTGGTGTGGGGATGGAGGGTAACTGATGGGTCTTCAGCTGCCCCAGAGGCTGAGGCTTTTAATAGACCTGACTCCTTTCTAAGGCAGGAGTTTTAGCTGCATTAAAAGGAAGAATGCTGTAAGCAAACCAAACTGTTCTATTCTGTTGTTTTTACCAGTCTAGTTGACAGGGGCTTTCAGCCAAGCCATAAATGTGTCCTAGCTTCCAATGATCCAGTGGGAAGGGGGCTACTGGCCTGACTTATACAGCTCCATCTTTGTGGGGCTTAGTAGAGCATGTTATTCTGTTCAAACCGAAGTATCCTTTGGCATTGACCATTTGTCTGCACAAGGGACAGTGACACATAGCCCCAGGCATGCCTCTGCCCTACAGTATCCCACCACCACCAAAGTTAAAATCTCTTGATGATGCCACCCGCACACTACCCCCAGTAATCCTTCTGCCACTCATTCAGAGGCTGCCTGGCAAGTCCCAGCTCTGAATGTGGCTATAAACTCAGGGCTTTTTCTTCAAGATGTTGGGGACAGACATAAACTATTCAGACTTTCTGTTTCATTTTGTGTTAGTTCTGGTTAAGACTTGATCCTGACTTGGGCCCCTGACTTCTCGACCCTTGGAGCACCTATGGAACTTTCCGCTCCTAGCAGATTCAGGGGATGGTCTGAGTTGAATACCCCTCTACTGGAGTAAGCAGGACTAGCCTCTCACCCTGGGAGATTATCTAAGTGGGGTAGTCCCTCTCTTCTGATGGATTTAGGATATTTGACTAGATAAAATCCTTCTCCTGATATATCAGATTGGGTCAGTTGGTGGGCACTCTCTCCTGGCTTCTGCTCTGTTGATGTGTTGTCAGAATGTGTAACCAGGGAACATGGGTTGCCCTGTTGAATTTTTTAGTCTTATAAACAAAAGAATTTGAAAACATATTTGAGGGCTTAAAGAAATGGCTCAGTGGGTAAGAGCATTGGCTGCTCTTCCCAAGTGCCCAAACAGCAGCTCACAATCACCTGCATCTCCAGTTCCAGGAGATCCAACACCCCCTTCTGGCCTCTGTGGGCACATGGTGTACACACATAATGCACACACATACATGTAGGCAAAACACATATGAAAAATAAAAGTAATTTTAAAAACACACATGGAAGGAAGCTCAAGGACCATTTTATTAGAGTTTGAGAGGAAAACAAGGCAGGAAAGGAAAACTGGAAACGCCAGCAGCTTCTTACAAGGGAGAGTTATACAAGAAAGCCATTCCTTAAAAATGCTATTAAATTTGTGTGTGTGTGTGTGTGTGTGTGTGTGTGTGTGTGTGTGTGTATGTTAATTTGAGGGAGTCATTTCTTTCTTCCATCATGTGGGTTCTTAGGGAATGAAGTTCAGGTCATCAAGCTTAGCAGCAGGGATCTTTACTGAAAAAGCCATCTTAATGTTCCAAGAGACATTGTTTTTAAATTAGTGAAAATCTGCTGTGAACAGCTACATGGGGTGGGGGTGGGTGGGCCTTCAGAGAAGTTGAGAGTACCCTGTGAGTCGGGCAAACAGACTTAGGATGCTCAGCTGACTTCCAAAAAAAGATGTAGAGAGAGGGAGGAAGAGACCAGGGAGATGGCTCAGCTGTAAGCATGCTGACAAGGCTGGTAGCCTGACTTCAGTCCCCAGAACCCATACGGTGGGAAAAAAACAACTTATACTAGTTGTCTTCTGACCATCAGAGTGTGCCATGGCACATACTGGCACGTGCACACACACACACTTGCATGCCTGCACACAGTGCACGTGCCCGAGCATACACACGTAGTTATTTAATTAGAGGAGGCTGGGTGTGGTGGTGGTGGTGCACTCAGGAGGCAGAGGCAGGTGGATCTCTGTGAGTTCTAGGCAAGCCCCAGTCTAAAAAGCAGGTTAAATCTTTCCTTAAAAAAAAAAAAAAAAAAAAAAAAAAAAAAAAAAAAAAGATAGAAGGGAAGGGGAAAAAAGGAGATGGACAAGTTATGCTTTTTGAGTTAGAATTCAGAAAAACAAAGCAGGCAGATGTAGCAGCAGAGATCTAAGCATATGTATAGGGTGCTTTCTTATTACAGAGATAATTATATACAGTATTTATACAGTATTCTGTCTGCATGTGTGCCTATATGCCAAGAGAAGGCAGCAGATCTCTTTATAGATGGTTGCGAGCTACCCTGTTAGTTGCTGGGAATTGAACTCAGGACCTTTGGAAGAACAGCCAGTGCTCTTAACCTCTGAACCATCTCTCCAGCCCTTGCTTTTGTTTTTTCCGAGACAGGGTTTCTCTGTATAACCGCCCTGCCTGTCCTTTTCACAAAGACCGTAAAATATTTTGCATTAACTACTTAACTTCCATGTAGACCTGGAGTTTTACCCTATCAGCTGTTATCTTATCCAGTGCACACCAGGAGCCATCTTGTTCTTACTGACTGAAAAAGTTCCTTAGCAACCCCTGAGACGTAACTTCAGAAGCCACCAAATTCATGTGTGTGATTCCTGTAAAGAGTGACTCTTAAGAGGGCCGTACCCATGCTTGGTCCTGTCTTATCCTTTTCCTGAGTGTCTTTCCCTTCCCACACCTCACCCACTGCTTAAAAGTTAAAATCTCCCCAACTCAGAACCATAGTATAAGGAACCCCAGCTTTGCCTGAATGAAGGCCTATGATCTTAAGCCGTGTGGAAGTGGCAGCATGGTCACACAAGGTCACACACGGTCACACAAAAGACTGTGATCCTAACCCAAAGTCCACACCCTTAGTGCTTTTATGGCAAGTTCTCTTCCTAGTCTTGAGATCTTTCCTAATGGGAGAATGCCATGATTATCCTGATTTCTAGGGACAGGATCTCTTCAGAGCAGTCCATGCAGGGTGGCTAGAAAGGAGCCAGTCCAGCTGCCAAAGCTCTGTGACCTGTGGGAGGTCCAGGATCTTCAGCTACAGACTCCCTGAGGCCTTGCCACAGAGGACTTTCAGGGAAGTGTGACCTGCCCACAGCAGGAGGGGGAGGGGCAGGGAGTTCTGGTGTGCTCCAATGCCCCACTCTACAATGCTTATGAACCAGGCTTCAGGGCCTGCATATCACTGGCCTTATTCTGTGTCTCCACCCAGACCAGGTCCTTTAATTCTACCTCAGAAACCTAGGCTCTGACAGTCAGGCCTTGTTGAAGGGACTGCCCAGCTGGTTGGGCCTGGTAAGTTCAGAAAAATGAGGCAGAGTCAGGCCCAAGTATATGTTTGTGTGTTTGTGTGTGTGTGTGTGTGTGTGTGTGTGTGTGTGTGTGTGTATCACCAATTGACTGACCACGCAACCCTGGAACAGGCCTGTGGCTGTGGCAGCACCCTTTGCAGTCCTGGGTTGGGAGCACTTGCGAGTGTCCCCACTAGAGCTATGTAGTGAGTCAGTGAGCCGCTGAAGGACAGTGCCCTGCCAGGGCCTGCAAGGGAGGAAGTCATCTGTAAAATGGAGGCAGGCACAGAGCTAGCGGCAAGTGGGGGCCCGCCAGCTGTGGAAGGTGAATCCTGAAGCCTAGTCCAGGCTCCAAAGAGGGAAGCAGCTTGCTGCTGGCCACCTTCCCTGTGCAGGTGGGCGGGGCTGGGATGAGGCCCTATAAAAGGCCTGTGTTTAAATTGCAAATCCATCTCCTTGTTGGCTGTTTAAATATTCTACCAAACAGAGAACAGGTTTTTAAAAATGGCTTCCAAATACACATTAAAATACACAGCACAAACCTGGCAGGCAGATGAAGAAAACAGCACAGGTGGCCTATGGCCCCTTCCCTCTACTCCCTAGCTCTCTGACCAGCAGCAACCCAGGAGCTTCCTGACACAGGCTGTTTGTTCCCCATGTCCCTTGGATTTCCAGACCTCCGAGACCAAACTGCTTTTCTTGCTGACAGAAACAGCAATAAGCAATAACCTATACAATAAGCTGGCAGTTTTCAAGGTGTCCCTTTGTTCATGCCCCACATCGGAGCTTGGCATCTGGCAGACTGTCTACCCCTTGCCTCTACTATACTACCTGGGGTGAGGGGCTCCCTTCACAAGGGCGCCTGCTTGCTCATGTCTTTTTCGACCACCCCTTCCCTCACAGCCCCAGTTGCTCAATTGTGGGTGTCCCCAGCCTGGGAGCTGCTGAACTGGGGAGCAGGGGTCGTCTCCCTGTAGTCTGCACTTAACAGGCATTCTCAGTACTCAGGCACAGATGCTCAGTTAGTATCTGGGTGGAGTGAGTGGGCAGCCTCCCACCAGCCCTCCACCTGGGACTGGGCTGGGAATGGTTCCTGTGGCCACCGTTTTCGGCTCCAAAATTCTGCAGCACCCCGCTCGCTCCGGAGAGAAGGCGTGGGGAAAACAGACGCTTGGGGGAGGGGAACTGCCCCTCAGCCGGACTCCGCCCAGACTTTCTCATCTGCTCTAGCGTCGCCTGAAGGCGAGGTAGAGCGGCGCCGGGGCGGCCTCGACTGTCTTTAGCGGCGTCAGCGGTAGCAGCCCCGAAGCAGGTCCCAGCGGGCCAAGAACTCCACTCCCAAGCTGTGAGGGACACGGGCTCAGTAGAGCAGTGGTCAGAGCCTCTTTGCCCTTTTGGTGCCACCAGTGCTGCGTCAAGGCGATGCAAGTCAGGCTTAGGGGCTCGGTTCGCAGACGCCGTTGGTCATTGCTACACGACCGACTCTTCGGGGCAGTCAGTTACCGGTTCTGAATCCGGATCTCCAGAGTGCAAGTGCTTGCGGAAGCCGGAGGAGGTCTGGGGTGGCGGTCAGGCGTCCGCCGGGCGCCGCCACCTCCCACTCATGGCTAGGCTGCCCCCGCGGGCCTGGTTGCGCGCGCCCGGAAGCCTGGCTCTTGCTCGCAGGAGGTGGCTCTTTTGTACCGTACACTAGGTGAGGCACGCTGCAGCGCCTAAAACTCGGAGACGCAAGAGACTGGTCCTG